CTTTAACTAAAACAAGTTTCACAACACAATCCAAATATCCAAAGTACAAGAGTAGCAGCACATTATTCTTTTTCCAAATTAATTGTGATGACTACTAAGATATAAACAATGTCTTTACTTTATGAAAATGGTGTCATTATAACATCTGTGGAACAATAATGACTAGCTATCCGCTGAAATTCACATTCATTCCTTTTCCCTGTCAAATGCACTAACTAAAGGATAAAGGCATAACAAAAATCAATATTAAACACCAATTATACAGTTTGTAAGTAGCTAAATAAGGTATGCACGTATGCCATTAAATGATGTTTAGAGACATGAAATATCTTGTTAAATAACGATCTATTTCAATTAATAAAATCTCTTCTCTAATTTCTTTTTTCTCGAAATACTTGATGATTCAAATTGCTAATGAACCAATAATTCATAAAACGACTAATTAAAGCTTAGTTTTGACTATTCAGTGTGTGTATATATATATATATATATATATATATATATATATATATATATATATATATATATATATATATATATATATATATATATATATATATATATATATATATATATATCTGTAGGTGACAAAATCCATATCTATTTCTGGTATATATCATAAAATCGATTTTTGTCTCCTTTGGGGTTAGAGAAAGTGGTATTTTATTATTGAGACATGACCACAAACCTATAAACAAAACATACGTAAATGATGATGCATACTAGTATATTTCACATGCATTTCATTACAAGTATGCAAACATGAATGAAAAATCCAAAATAACTAGAGCCTATATAATTTTTTAGTAGTTAAGGACATGATCACGTACTTTCTGTTAAGTTGTTATTAGGTAATTATTACGCCAATATTGAAATATTACTTCTGTTACATTTCTTTTTTATTTTATTTATTCATTTGATTTTGGAGACCTCTGAAGAAAGGTAATCTAGCCTTCTGCTTTTTTATTTATTTAGCACCCTATGTACTTATTCACAGTGTATTTTGATTCTTTAAAGCATTCAAACATTAAGGGTACCAAAGCCTGCATTGTATTATCTATTCCGTTACTTTTCTTTTTTTTATTCTTTTGAGTTGAGATGGGTAATCTAGTCTACAGTGTGTTCGCTTTTCTGTTTTATTTTATCACTCTAGCTGTAGAGATGTGACAATCGGGAACCTAGCATACCTTGTCTTGGCTATTCTGCTATAATATATCTTTTTTTTTCCCATTCTGCAGAACTGTTAATTAAAATGATTAACCCAGACTACATAGATTCTCTGTTGCATTACATTTCATTTTATTTTTCATATGCATTCTTTTGAGCTGTGATAAGAAGATGGGCAAACTAGTCTTCATTACATAATTGTTCTTCTGCTTAATTTTTTTTTCATTTTTATCTATTTACTCTGATTCTGTGTGATTCTGGTAGCGTCTCCATATGAGTGAAAAATTCTCTCTCGGACATTAACCAACAAAAAATATAGAGAGAAAGAGACAGAGAGAGAGAGGGGGGATGAGTAACTTACTCTATATTGTGTTCGCTATTTTGTTTTATTACATTTTTTTTTCCTATTCTGTAGAGCTGAGAAGATGGGTAACGTAGCCTACATTGTGTTCACGCTTCTGCTAGTGGTCCTCCTGACCTTGTCAGCGGAAGCCTTTTCTTTCTTTGATGATTTTGAGTACCCCCGCTTCTTCCGCCCCTCCCCATTCTTCTATCCATACTTCGGTGGATTCGGTGATGACTTCTTCGATGATGATTGACCATGGTAAAATTTGTTTTTTTATCATATCCCTATACAACAAGCAAAACGAAATAATAACTATTGAGGATAATTTCCAATCCTGGAAAATCACGGGAACATCATTTTGAAGTATAGATTATTATGATTTACATGGCCTTGACATGCTCTAAGCATGAATGGAATTATAGGCTGATCGGCAATATCTAATTTAAGAGCGCAATATTTATTGTTTAATTTTGTTTGTTTTATTATTATCATTATTATTATTAATTCATTTCCACAGAAAAATACAAAAGACTTACACAACTCTTTCTCTTTTCTATTTACAGTTAGAAACACACGTTACAAGAAGCACCAACTAAACTGTATATTGCACAGAGCATGAAGTCTCCAAGATCAAATAAATTTTGTTAATTTACTTCTAATATGTTGTATATTTCTTAATACACAGACAAATATTGCAATGATCATTCTTCGGCATTGAGAGGACAACAATCAATCAAGGTCTGCATGCACTGAAAATGTTTTCTACAGTTACACAAAGCCTTTACATCGTCGCGGTATTCAAAAAGAAAAAAAACAGAACTATGCATCTCAAAATGTGTGTTTTAGTTTCGAAAAATTTGTCACAGTTAAGAACATTTTTTTAAAAAATAGAACTCTTTGCGACAGCCTTCGCGTGGATATCAATTTGATAAATTTGAGGAATCCTGATTATTTACATTTTTATTTTACATGCACGAGAAAAAAAAAGATTAAGAACCCAAAATCAAATGCTTAGCATTATTTCTCTTATTCTGAAGCAAGACAATTACCGGGTAATAGTTTCTGAAATGCCCTCTTCACTTTTTTTTTTATCTTCATCTTTTTCATGCTTCATTTCATTTCAAGTTTTGTCTCTGCAGATATGTCTCTTTATATGCAATTTAATGAGAAAACTCTCTATTTGTTTGTTCCTAAATCAAACATAAAAATATCTAGTTCATTTTCTCTTAATAGTGATGCATCGTTTGATAATATTGTAAAGATAGAAAATATTACAGCTTTAATAAAAAAAATTAAATGCATTCTTTATATAATCTTTTAACAATAAAGATAATATTTTCAAGATGCCAAGTTTTCGTAGCTTTTTAAATAAATACAATTTACAAGAAAATAATTAAAACTGTCAAATACCATGGTTATCTGCATTTCTGTCTCTATAATTGCAGCACGGAGGACCGGGCTGCTCTATACATCTCGTAAGTTTAATTTTTGGTGCATGGGATTGAGGTGGGAGAACTTATTCAGAATTAAGTGGTTAACTACAATGACCTTGTCAGCAAATACAATCTATCATTAAGTCAAATGCTGACTGACGTTTTTCATACTAATTGTTAGGCCATTATCACACTAAATTGTCGACGGATTTTTCTGTTATTTCCCTATCATGACAACGAGCACACGGCGGGTGTGACCGGTCGACACTCCTCCATGGCACCTGATCCCACTTCTGTTGTTTAGAGGTCTGTGATTCCTCTGCACCAAAATTTGTATTGTTTAATGTACTTTTGAGCTTGAATACTGTTCGTTATCTCCATATATTTCATACATTAAAAAGATTATACATCAGAATGTTCTTTCTTTTTGTTACATTAAAAGTTTAAAGTTTAAACTTATCTATAACTATCTAGATAGTTATAGATAAGTTTAAACTTAAGATTTAAACTTTTAATGTAACACCTTTATAAATTACGAGATACACAATATATTTACTTCCATGAAGTACATCTTTAAAAATATATGTTTTTCATATGTAATATAAAAAGTCGCTTATCATTTACTATCGACAAAACGACAGGTCCTTCTTTTTAGAACATTTAATTTTACTTATCTTTACACAGTCTGTGTTTTATATTCATTGAGTCAAATATATATTTGATGATAAGTGATAGATGTGTCTGATTCTAATTTATATTTTATGCAGACAACAGTTAATTGAGAAAATGATAAAGATTAAAACGGTATCATTTTTGTTTGATTTTCATCTGATTAGAAACTTTCCGTAAATCTCGACTAAAGTCTCCATCATTCGTCAGACATATGTCTTTATCAGACAAGTCTAAGCGGTTTGATGATCAAGATTTTACTGCATTTATTACCCGGGCGACAATTGATGGCAACATCAATATTTTCTTGTTTAATTGTAAGTAAAGGAAACAAAAGTACATCACAAAAAAGTCTTTGATTGAAATAAAGATATGTTCATATCTCAGTATCGACACAAATGCGTAATTAAGACCACATTGTACATAGCTGATAGATATAGGGTTCAATCAAATCTACTCCTTGATACACTACTGGGGCTCTAGGTGGGCTTTGGCAATATTGTTAAGTATGTTACACAAATCACAGCAACCAGACCATGTTTGAGCGTTTTAAGATCCTTTTCTTTCGTTTATCTTCGTTACTTAATGTTGTGTCGATCTGTTCTTACATTTGATATTGTACAAGGGGGTAGGAATTTAATCCATCTGTGAATACGCCCATCTCAGACTGTCAGAGAGCACTTAAGACTGTTACAAATGATATTTTCTGATAGTCCGCTGAAAGGTCGGCAAGAAGTTTTTCAGCATTTTTCTTTTTCAAGCATACATCAGTCATATTTCTCTCATGAATTGATCGTTGATACGATGATTAAGTGTTTAAATGAATTAAAAATAATAATCTACAGAAATTCAATTTCAAATATAATCACTAAAATAGCTCAGAAGATTGGGCGCTTATAAATTGTAGAATTTTAATTGGTAATATAAAGTTCGATGTAAACTCATTCACTTCATAATCAATTTATCAGATAATTTTATTAAGGTTTAATTAGAACATAAAAAAATAAATAAAAGTTCACGTGTATCGTTCATCCTGGAAACGATTTGAATTGATTCCTATAGAAAATCCATATGTGTTAGGAATTTTATATTGTTATCAACGATTGTCACCGGATATCGGGGCAAACTTGGAGTGGATAGTCCACAACCTGCTATCTTTTAAAGTTCAGAAATAGGTCAGGTGTCTTCGTAAGAGAATCAATACATATCGAAGAGAGGGCCCTCGATTTTAAAGGGAGTAAAGCAAATTAAAGATCACCGATCGACTCCGTTATGCAAGATTGGGCGCTTTCACTTAACTTTTAAAGTTTGTCTCCAGCATAGCTGTGTATATTTATAATCGACAGAAATTGGTAAACGTTCTTACTCTGTGAGAGGATTTCTAGCAAAACATGGTTAAAAATAGATATTGGAGATAGACGTTTGGTCTTCAAGGTGTGACTCGAGACACGTGTACAGGTGTACAGGTGATTTGTAAATTATAGAAACAAAAGAGCAATATTAAAGGAGGAATAAATAAATAAGAAGAATCAACACATGAAAGAAAAAAATATTGGTGAATAGGAGCATAAATCACGAGAATATATTTACCTTGGACAGGTGAGTTAACCACTACCTTATCTCCTAAATGCTTTCCAATTACACGTGAAATATCGGTTTACAAATTACATGGGCCTTGACAAGCTGTTTACAACATTTTGAATAGTTGAACAATTTTGTGTTTAAGATTCTAAACAGATGTGGGAAGATTTAATTTCTTGCCTTTGCACTTTTTCTGATTTTCTATTAAACATATCAGTTGTATTTTACATTTGTATTTTCTGTTATAATTAATGTAATTCTAGTTGGAAAATGAATACTAGAGATGACTTAGACGTATTTGGCTTTAAATTGAAAGCTTTTTCTCTTTTAAAAATCATTTTAAAAAACAAAATAACTATCATACATACATGTTAAGTCGTGTCACTTTTAAAACTATTCTGCAAGCTTGAAAAGAAATCATTAACCTGTCCTTTAGCAGTTTTAATCCATGTATACAAAATCATTGCTTTCATTTACCAAGAAATTGTATATTGATTTCATTTAATTCTGATTTTAGAATTATAAAGTTAACATGCAGTATAGTTTTGATACTAATTACATTTTAATTCAAAACTTAAGAGAGAAAAGAGCTATTACGAACAAATGATTAATATGAAATAAAACGAATGGATTTAATCGAACCAGAATATACTACTGATTCTCTAATAGCATGAAATTAATATTCTATCAGGCCTGAATAAAACTAGACCAAATAAAAATATATGCATTTTCTTTTCTTAAATTGAACCCCCCTTTGATAACCGGAATCTATTTAACGTATTGAATTTTCAATAATACCGTCGGTTTCAATAGTGTTAAATAAATATTTCCTCTTGTCAACGCGGCTCCTCGACTACATTTAAATTACTATGCATGTTTTAAAGTAGACGACTTCACACTTAAAATAAGACAAGGGATACATGCACGATACTATCTCCTTGCCTCATTGTTTCTCAGGTGATTTTTTTAAGATAAGAAATTTGAAAAGCATTTAGAATAAGAAAAATCAGTTTCAGTCATACCTAAAAGAAATAAAAGTCAGATATCTCCGTACATGTAAATATACGTGTGTAGTATTAACAGTAAGAAAAATCGGGTTCACATTAACAGAAATGAGGGATTTAAAAAGAAAAAAAGAGAATTTTTTTAAGTTGTTGAAATTCTTATAAACATCAAATTAAGTAACATACCATCTAAAAAAATTAATGTTAAAGCATTCATAATAGACAAAAATATCTAAAACCTTTGTTAGGTATTTTTTAAAGTACTAGTTTTTATAAGTATTCTAAATTGATCGAAAAAAGTTTTCCCAGTCATATTTTCCATTGCGTATTTTATATACTAGTTTTAGCTTCAAATTTAAATATCTAAAGTACATGTACATTATAGTGTATGTTGTTACGTACAAATGTAAAAATTCAGTGTATAAAAAGATTTAGTGCTCTCCAAATCTAGATAAATCATGAAGCAAACACCCTTTAAATAAAGGCAATGAAATAAAATGAGGTACATATGGTCAAAAATTTACAAAATCAAATTTTTGGAACTCATGATTCATCTAAGAATCATTTCCCATGAATTTGTCTTTAACAAGTGACGAATATTTTGTCCATCTACCAAATATCTAGTCACTTTCAAATACTTTTATGTTTGAACAAGGAAACAGAGGATTAAATAAAATTTATTTTACGTCTGCTATCAAACAATCAAATACCTTTTAAATGTTTATGCATCCAGTATTAGAGATTAAGCATCAATACTCTTTAAGTAAAATTCAGATCCTAAAAGTGTTGAACAACTAGAACAAAATTTTAGAAATGATTCTTCTATAGCATCATGAACTGTCAGTGAGAAAGATGCAGATCTTAAACGTGTTGATCAAGTGGAATAAAAATTAAGAATTGCATGATTCTTTTAAAAGCTTCACGAACAACTGAAGAGAGCTTAACAAGTGGAACAAAATTTTAGAAATGATTCTTTTAAAAGCTTCATGAACAACTTAGAGCGTACAAGGACCTCTAAAACAGAAGCAGGATCAGGTGCAACAGAGAAATGAGCATTCCCTGTCGATCGATCACACGCCGCCGAGTGCCTCTTGTCATGATCAGGTAAACGGAAAAATCCGTAGGCAAGTCGGTGAAAAAATAAGGAATTAATATTAAAGACGTCAGTCAACATTCGACCTCTACAATAGATTGTATTTGCAAACAAGGCCATTGTATCGATAAAATTTGCGAATTGTTGACTTTAAACGAGATTGGTGATACCCTTGTATCATCAGCTTACCTGCCAGTAGCATGTCTCGTTTTAGAAATTGTTCATAAATAGAACATGCTCTTGAATCGAATCAACTGTGAGACACAAATGCCATATGCAGGTAATAATGGTACATTGTTACACAAATAAGGGAAGTTTACGATAGAAAAGTTGAATTTATCAAGTTCATCATAAAGTTTATTTGTTAGTTTGCTATCAATGTCTTTTCATAGTAAAGCATCCAAATATAAAAAAAAAGATTTGTCAGACTATGTGGTGTCTTCTATCTCGAAGATGCATGAAGAGCTGAACAACAAGAACAAAATTTTAGAAATATCATGCTTCCAAAATCAACGTGAGCAAAGCAACAAGAAAGATGCACATTTCAAGTGTGTGGACCAACTAGCTGCAGATCTGTAGCTCGCTAGTCTGAAAAAAATGGGCAACAAGAGAGCTACAGTGTCATCCATTGTAAAAAGTGCATATTTATTGCGCGCAAAAATTAATGTGCACAGAAAAGTGTCCTGCTTTATCAATTTAGAAGATTACTAACCCTGTGTTCTTAACATATTCTTGAACTACTTCCACAACAACACATTCCCAAAACTGTTGTTAATAGGCCTCCTGGACCTACAATTGAGACCATTGAAAAATTCGCCTATTTATACTGCCATTTTGGGTGACAAAACAATTCGGTCCAACGCGCTACATGACTTGTCCAGTATACTTGTATACTGTTTTGTTGTGGAATTAGTAAAAGAACATGTGGTTGGTAATATTTTTAGATATACGGAGAAATAAATCTAGAAACAGTACACTTTTTTCGATGGGTGACACTGTACATGTAGCTCTATTGTCGTCCATCAAAATTTTTCAGACCAGCGAGCTACATATCTGTAGCCAGTTGACCAACTAAACAAAATTTTTAGAAATGATTCTTCAAAAAGCTTCACGAATATGTTTACATTGATTGTAATCCATATCAAATTAAACGACACAATAATTGTCAGTTTTCTTCTGTATTTCTTAATACTCTGCAATTCAAATCATCCATTTTTATAAAATCATATGAAATATGTATTCTTTTTTTTTTTTTTTTTTTAGATATTAGTTTTACGCAAGTTTGGACGTTTTCTTACAGCTGTCAGGGAATTGCTGAAAAGTATAAATGCATGATCAATAAGGAAATATTAAACTCAAACCTTTTCAATACTGCATTAGTTTTATAGCATATTTAAAAGTTCAGTCTATAAGTAAATCTGAGGCTTTTTGAAGAACAATTTGAAGTAAAAAGTTCCTCCAGTGAATTTTCTGAACAATCCTGGAGTTTAGGAAACTAATCAGATGTATCTTTTTTTTAACTTTTACAGATATACATTACCAAATCCGTTTCATGTATATAATGGCTCTTTACTTGTGTCAAAGAGAAATATTAAAGAACAGTTTAAATTTCAAAGGATTGATTTTATTTTTTTATTCACTTGATTGGTTTTAAGACTGGTCACCAAGCATACTTTCTATAGGTATTGTTACAGCTTGGCCGTTCCTATCTCAGCTTTAAGAGTTCCTTTGGTAATTATAAAATTCGAGATTTCTACCATAGCTCTTCTTTAATTTTTTTCTTATTAATTATCTTAACATTCAAGTAATAAACAACAGAAAATAAACCTCGTGGGCCTGACTCAGTGCCATTTTGTGTGCTCCCTTCTGGACGACATGTGTGGTCAAGGTCTTCCAAAAACTACTGAGTTATAATAAAAAATTCATTTAAAAATATCATTTTATCTAAAACATGAAATTGCCCTTTTAAAAACTTCTGTCACATTTGCATGCGCTTGACACCAAAGAAATCATTGGATTATATAGTCACCTTTGTAGGTGACTGTTTAACAAAGATCTAAGTGAGAAAGTTCTCATGTGTAACAAACTTATACAGAGCACCAGGTCAAAAAAAAAAAAAAGAAAAAACACGTTCTTGGGGGAAATTATCCATGTATATCTTATGAATCTGAAATTCGAGATCAGCTATGCTTTGTTTTTTGATATTTGAAGGGCATAAACTTGGTGTATTTAAACCTTAAAATAGCTTATTTGGTTTTGATAACAAAGAGTGCAAAAATCATTTAGTTTGTTATGCATAACAATTTCTATTTTGAAGCAAATAGTATGAAGGTAAGTGTTAAATACCTGAAAATGTGGACTTATTTTATTTAAAATATTAAACTAGAAGTTTATATAAATTCAATAATACTGCTTTTCCAATGAAGATGACTCAATACATGTACAGTACAAAACTTAATATATATTTATGTCCACTTTGTAAAATCGACCTAAAGTTACATCGTAAATGCATTTCTTTCGTTTCAGATGTAAATAAAGACTAACAATACATATTCCTCAGAAATCAGTTTTCGAGCATTCAAAATTATGCCTGACGTTACAGTAAAATTTTTCATGCTTTTTTTTGGGGGGGGGGGGGGGGGGTGATGGAGACAATCTGTTTTATAAGTACATTGTAAAATGCTCCATATTTAACACAATATTAAGAACAATTTTCAAAAGTTTGTTCTGGATTCTTTGCAAAAATCAATTTATCTAAATATTAAATATCGGAAATAGTATGAATGAATTACAAAACAAAATTGCACTTAGTTTATTGTCATAGACAGATGCATATACCTCTCTCTCTCTCTCTCTCTCTCTCTCTCTCTCTCTCTCTATATATATATATATATATATATATATAGTGATTATAGTCGGTTTAATTAAACATCAAGAATGTAGTTTTAAACCTTATTAATAGGTCGTGCATCCTGTCCTTTAATAAAAAGGGTAAAAACTATTACAAAAATATCAGTTTATTCAAATACAAAAGCACTGTTCAAAGTACATGTATGTTTCAAATGTATCTTAAGGTTATGGAAAAAAGGACTAAAGTTTGAAATACACGTATAGATCATTATGTTTATATAGCACAGATCAAATGTGAGTATGTACAGATTTTTTCCATAGAAGATAAATCCATCATTATAACATTTACGAAATTTACATATCAAAGATCATCCTCCTAATAAATAACATTCATTCGGGTTAACTATGACAGCAGCAGTATGTCTACTACACAGACTCTCATGGTTACACTCCTTGCTCTAAGGACAAAAGTACATTATTTGTACATACATGACTGTATGTTTTGAAGAGACTGATTTGAACCAATGATATTGGGTCATATAAAAGACCCGTGACTTCTATTTATAGCGTCAGGGAAACTCAATCAGCTGAGAAGTCGCCTCGGTGTGGGGAATGAGCTCAACTCGAGCAGGCTCTGAGCAAGGATTTAAAGCAAAGTCAATGTTTCTTCAGACCGGAGTAAACCTTAGGCCCCGATAACGAGACCCATTGCAGTGGTTTGGGTCCGTAGAAAAGGTCCGAATGAAAAGTGCATTTGATATGGGTTCGGCAGGGATCTGGAATCTTTAAAATTTCAATGATCCCTCACATGGTATTTTAGCACTTTATTGATATATCGGCTTCTTGTGATATAGGAAGGGAAATTTTCTCCCGATATTGTGTTTTGATTTGCTAAAATATACTTTGAAATATGGCAAGATAAGTCTTTTGACACAAGATGATAAAAAAAATAAGACTTTTTTCTATAAGTTTGCTATCTCTCCACGGTTTTAAACGTTATGTGCGCATTTAAACACAAAGAAACGAGCAATCATTTGAAAAAAAAAATTGAGAGAAGACCAGAGACTATGAAAATAATTTTTTTAAATCAAATTGCGGCTTCATTGTATTTTTTCATTATTATTTATTTATTTATCAAAGTGTAAAATAAATTGTGATTGTGCTGCTCCGACAACGAAATCCTTTCTTCCCATTGATTGAAATTGTATTTAACTATACCTAATATGTTATGTTTAGTAATAATGTAAAGTAATACTGTGATCATGCAATAACTATGCTTTTTTAAATAACATACAAGGATCATATAAACCGTTCATTAAAATTGTTGAAATCAAATCATTAGTTTATTTAAAGAAACTTGCAAAGAAAACAAACAATCTATTTAATTATTTCCAGAGTCGACGACGTTTTATCAATTAACAACAGATGTCTACTCCATAATTATCCCAGTGAACTCGAACTAAAAGATACCACAGTCTGCCACATCTGTTTTATATTTGAATGTTTAAATGACTAAAGATGATAAGGGCCAACTTACAACTAAATTGTATGACAATGGAGATGACTTCAGTTTTCCCATTGTAAGCTTTCCTTATTACCGTCTTCCTTGGAAGACGGTATACAGAGTTGAAGTATTTTACAGTCTTCGGACTTTGCACTTCCTCTCTTTTGTGATTGGTAGAAAATACATGAAGTGAAAAATTTTCAATTATTTCATTGGTTAAAATGCTGTTCACGGCAAGATAATTTTCTGTTGATCTAATTTTCGTACGACTTAACATTTTTTCTAGATTTTTCAATCTTTAAAAAAGTCGACAAAACGAACCAAAAAAAATTACAATAAATGAAACTGTCACTTTAATTTTTCATAAGCAACTATTAAAAGGTGTTTTTTCTTAAATTTTAACAGAAATTTAGTGCAAACATTAGAAATGAATTCATCCTTTTTTTCTTACTTTGTTTTTGCACTGTCTTTCGTACGTTAGGGCGACGACCATTTGATTCTGAAAAAGGGGGGGGGGGGGCTGGCTAAATTTTTCGAGTCAAATTATTTATTTTCATGTCAGTCAAGAAGAGATTATTTATTTTCAAGTTGATCAAGGACAGATATTTTTTTTTTCTTCTTCACTGAAAAAGTTTGTCTGTAACAAATCTGTTGACGAAATACAAAGCCAAGAACAGGTAAAGAACAACTAAAAAATAATACGACCTGATAGCTGAATGTCAGTTTACTGTTTAAGGTTGTTGCTAAAGACGTCAAGCTTTAGAAAAAAAGCTATACTTGTTCATGTAGTAATATTCCGCTATCCCCTGCATATGGTGTTTACGTCTCCAAACTTCCATACTCAGGTTATGCTCCGAGTAGGATCAATTTTTAAACCGATGCAGGCTACTGACAGATAAGTTGAGATGTAACAGTTGTTGCAAGGATTTCAACAACCTTGTTCTAAGTCAGTATTTTGTAAATTCTATGGTCGTTCTAATGACATTTATGGCATTTATAACCTATCATTGGGTCGTAGTTTGGCTGACATGTTTCATACCGATTGTCAGGCCTTTTTTTAAATTTAAACTTGACTATACGGAATATTCAATCTACGTTATCAATACATAGGCTCAAGGCCGTTTTAACATGTCAACAGGGGATGCTTACTCCTCAGGCACCTGATCCCATCTTTGGAATATCCGGGAGTCCGTGTTTCATGCCTGTTCACAGATTTTTTTTTTCTTTTTTAGATCGATCACTGTTCGTTATTTTCACCTTTTTTCATTTGATCGGATCATACCTGTATCGGTTTCAAAATAAAATATAAATTTATATTGATATTGATATACGATACATTTAAAAAAAAATTCTTTGATTGCAACAAAGAATAATCAGCTTAAAGATATACAGTTTTAATTTTTTTTCTAGGTTTCCGTACATTGCTTGACAAGCCTTAGATAAGACAAGACAGTATGTGCTACACGACATCTCTTCAGGAGAGATGTCCATCCATTTACAGCTGTTTACAAGATCATTAGCCACCCATGTTTCACAGAGAACCAAATCGGGATAGCAGTTTACCTGGTAAAAAGATGGTTCACAAACCTGTTCTTGATGGTAGATTTCGAGATCGGCAAGCCAACCATATTGAAAATCGGCAGCGTCTTCATTCTGATAATGAAGTGCCTCAAATGGAAACTTCTCAAAACTTTCTTCTACCGCTCACTAAACGTGACTTTTACACGAGAAAAGACACAGCCCGAAAGAACCTGCTAGGATACTTGTATACCCGACAACCTGTTCTTCACCGCAGCTATTCCTTCGTTGCTGGGGAGAAACCAATCAACGAACCAGGTCTTCCTAAAATCGCATCTTTTTCCCGAGAAAAGTCGAATCTTGACCTTAGCAAATCAAGGAATCGAAGCTATGAAATGACCCATCATGAACTGGGCCTTGGTCAACCATCGAAAATTGGAAAAGTAAGAGAATTTTTAAAATCCGGAAGTTCTAGGTCAATCTGTAGTGTAAAAAAAGAAAACAGGAGCCCTCAAAGATCCCGGACTAATAGCAACAAAATGACATTGCCGGAAATTATTGAGGATCTGAATAACAACGAAAAATATGTTAATGACACTTACTCAGAAGAGGAATCGTTCGACAGACCACGTGGTAGTGATCAAGTGATAACTTTTGTGCCATCTAGACTCATAGGGAACGAACCTAAAGTCTATCCCTCCAGACATAGACCGATTACGCCAAATTTATTGAAAAAACTAGATAAATTGAAGATTCCTAATCGAATACGGACCCAGGATTGGGTTAAGATGTTACCATCAGATACCAGAGCATATATCGGAGAATCTCGAATTAATGCACAGTATGTTCCAGAGGATGTAGACGATTAACTAGCTATGGCGGTCATAATGCACTGTCTTTTATCAAAGCAACAATTTCTTATGTTGAGATTTTCTTGAGAAGAGAAAATGTTGATAAATTAAAAATGGAGTAAATCAATTAATACATCTCGTTTGGTCACACACATTCAATTAAAATCAATTTTTTCTCAACTTGAGAAATGAACATATATTTAATTATGCACTAGAAACTGTATTGCATTTTTTTTCTATCGTTCGATTCATTGACAAGACGAAGTTTTTAATCATCAAGTGAAAAGCTCTTTGATGAACAAATCAATTACCACCATAAATATAAATCAGCATGAATTATTTTCACCTATTCTTGTACAAAAATAAAAAGGTGTTTAAAAATGGTGGTCATTTCATGCTTTTTTAAACAATAGGATTATACTTTCAGAAATTTTATGAAATCATTTTTATGAAAATAAAAAAGGGGGAGAGAGAGAAAATCGAAAATGTTAATCAAAAAACTTAAATTCTTTTTTTTTTTTTTTTTTTTTTGTTTTTTTTTTTTTTTTTTTTTTTTTGTTTTGTTTTGTTTTGTATTATCATGTGCCTGGACGGAGTATTATCCTCTTATACTCATTTATGTCAGATGATTAATCAGACGAAGATTTTTTTTCTTAATGAAACAGGCCCAGGCCGTCTTTCATGTTCAAAATTTACGATACTATGAAAAATTCGGTACTACGGAAAATATTAGTCTATGGGATTAAAAAGGGTCACAATTGCCTTATACAAAAGTTCGATCCCTACGATGGTTCTTTTTTTTCACTAGAGACAGTTTTCTTTGCTATCTTATATTTCATCTCCAATTTTTTTTTTTTTTGGGGGGGGGGGTGGTATTTAAATCACATGCGTTTACCCTTGATCCTTCTCAGACCCTGGTTGATACATGTATCATTTGAACAGACCTGCATTTACTCCCTCTGACACTTATTACATAATGTATGCCAAATGCCACCTTGTTGTACTGTAGAAATGCTTATACATAAAAATAAATAATTAAGATGAAATATACGAAAGATCAAACAAAATGTGGAAGTTGGGGGTCAAAGTGTTTTTTTTTTCATGTCCCAAGAACGTTAAAAAAATAATTGATTTTTTTTTTTACATTCCCCACCTCTCTATCCCCAACAGAATCATTTCCCCATAGATATGAATATAAATAAGTTGTATGCATTTTTTTTTATTTGTGTGTGTTCAAATGAAAACTCAACATTGAAAATGTTTGTCCGAGCTATTGACTTCAAAACTTCATGATACGAAAAATGACTTCCCGATCAATAGTTTTCTCATGATTTCTGCTCCGTCTCTTAAAATAATGAATTACCTTTGCTAGAACTCAGTGAATAAGCTGTCAATAATAGGGTTTCAATGCATAAATTTTTTATCCTATTTCTGTACAAACTTTCACGTTATTTGTTTGCTCAATATCGATTAACGAATTTGTTACCGGTGGCTAGATCACAGTTCCTTTTCGCTTTAGACTTATCTATTTATCTGTACTCAAACTCAGGACATAATAGATATATGGATAGGTTAAGATCATGCTAAATCACATAGAACACTTTCATTACAATGAGATAAAAAAAAATTTCAAATTTTTTATTTCTTTATTTATATATTTAATTAATGTTATTATTATTATTATTATTATTATTATTATTATTATTATTATTGATTTCGTTAAAAATTGTCAGAGGACTACACAAAAGCACAGTTAAAAACTTAACCGCTAGTGTTTTGAGGAAAACAAATACCAATAAATAATCCAAAAATATAGTGAAAAAATACATATTTCAAGTGATTAAATTTTTGAGTCAGTGCATTTGGGTGGTGGTGGTGTTCTATTCAATGGATATGAAATAGAAATGTATACATGATGGCAATTACATATTCTAGCTATGAGCTCTTTACCAGAGAGTGTAAAAAGTGTATTCCCAGGGATCAAGGTGAGGCTAAACTGACCTTCATTCAAAACTATACTACCAATGATCAAATTAATGTATTTCATGAATTTCTTCTGAGAATGGGATGAAATTTAGCTTGATCCTCTGGATTCCTTGTTAATTAATGATACACATACTCTGCATTTGCATCGTAACGCAGACCATATGCACAGAGAAACAGTGAAAATAAAGTAAAATTTCATATTGAATTTTAAAACTGTGATCCTTGCGTCTTCATGATCGAGGGCTTCAAATGAAAATTGAATCCTTCATTATCCTCAAGGGACAGGAACATGTTTTGATTTCATGTAGAGAAAATTATATCTTCAAATAGACACCTTACAATCAGCTCATAGTTAATGGAAAGATTCAGTCGAACGTTTTTATTGCAGAAAAATGTCCAACGCCTTCTCAAGGTTCTTTTCCTTAGATCAAATGAGTGTTTAGAAGATTGTGATTTAATACTAAAGAAATATTTTCCTTTATGTACCTTCGCTAATTTTTTTTTTTCGAGATTGCTATATCCGTAGTTGATCAAAGTTTAAATATATGTTATTGTAAACGAAACATGAGCCAGATATGTCAAAACAAATTCCTCGAGATAAAAAACGAATATTATTTTTGCAAAGTCGCCAAACACGGCACTATCTAAGCTTGTTTTATTTGTTGGCTTCAGTCATATTGAGACGCCACCATTTGCCTATACTCGGGCACTTATGGCCAATGAGCAAAGAGGGATCTTTTTTCGTGCCAGCACCTACTGCGACACGGGACCTCTGGTTATACGGTCTCATCCGAAGATCCAGTCTCCACGTCCCGATGTGGGATTTAAACTCGCCACGTAAGGGTCATCTCCTTACTCTGCGACTCTAAAGCAAACGCTCTAACCATTGCCCAACGCGGGCGATCTAAGCCGCCTATAAAAATGTTAAGAAGAATAGTTTTATTCAGAAAATTACCAAATAGACATATAACACATATAAAAACGCATATTTATAATCATGTAAAGCACAGGATTTAGTTAAATTGCTGCTATAAAAATGACAATAGCAATACAAGCATTAGAATTACGTCAAAGAATGTTCTTTTGACATTTTGTGTCAGATCTCTATCCTCCAACAGAAACTGGTTTGGATCAAAACAAAAATGCATGAAAAAGTAACACAGAAATAACAAGTCTATCAAATAATACTTGGTAATAGAAAACTTGTGTGAAGTGTCTTACAGTGTGGAAAAATTTTAATATCACATGGTAAATCCAGCATTTGGTGGGTAAGCTGGATTGATGCCGCCCCCAACAGTCTGGGGATACTGAGGGGGAGGATATTGCGAGTATCCTTGAGGTTGCTGATACATTGGAGGGGGTGGGACTTGGTTATAGCCCGGGGGTGGTGGAGGGTAAGCTTGCATTGGTGGACCTGTGTACTGGTTCTGTGTGTTGGAGTGCACTGAGAAAAAAAAATATGCATTTTAAAATTGCAAAAAACGTTCTGACTGCAAAACATGTCCGAGGAGAAATTAATATTACATTTCAGAAATATTCATAATATACCTTTTAATAGACCTTTCAAGTGATTGAATCATATCGCCATACTTAAAACATAAATAATTATAAGAGAGATATTTAGTGACGTTTCAAGCTTACCGATTGTGACATCTGTGGAAATTTCAAGTCACCTATTTTGACACCTTTGGAAATTTCAAGCTTACCTACTGTAATATCCGTAGTAATTTCAATTAAGTCAACCAATTGTGACACCTGTGGTAATTTTGAGCTTACTAATTGTGACACCGGTGGTAGTTTAAAGCTTAACTGATTGAGACACCGGTGGTAATTGCAAGACTACCGATTGTGACACCTGCGTTTATATTGAGGTTACCGATTGTGACACCTGTGGTAATTTTGAGCTTACCGATCGTGACACCTGTGGTATTATTTTGAAATGGTGCAATGATAGCACCTCTGGATCTTTTCTTCTTCATGACGACACACACAACGACCCCAGCAATCACAGCTATACACACCAGCGCCCCAACCACAGCTCCAGCTATTGTGCCCCCACTACAAGTATATCGCCAAATAAAGGAGTAGAGCAAGTACATCATAAACTAGGGAGAGGAGCAAGTACTTCTCAAAGTGATGGAGTGTATCTTCATTTTAAAGTTTGGGAGTTGAGAAAGTACATGTATATTTCACTGCTATTGAGTGGAACAAGCATAAATGCATCACAAAGTTAAAGAGTGGAGCAAATATACTTCAAAGTTAGGGAGCGGAGCAAATGAATCTCAAAGTTAGGACTGGAGAAAACACATTTCAAAATTAGAGAGTTTAAAAAATGCATTGCAAAGCTAAGGAGTGAGCAAGTACATCTGTACTTTAGGGAATCGGGTAAGTAATTGTTCATTTTGTGTTTAGTAAATGTTAATAGATTTTTCATGGAACAGCAATAATGGTTATAGTAGGGTCATATAATTTAGTGATGTAGAAGATAAGCAGTTTGATATTACTCGCCTCGGCTTGTAACAACAGTAGCAATTATAGTAAGATCTCTAGCTGTTACATGTATTTGATAAGCAGTATAATGTTACTCATCTGGTCATATTTACAACAGCGTTAGCGGTTATAGTAGAATATCTATAGCTGTACATTAAGTGTTAAGTATGATGTTACTATCCTGGTTCTAAGGAAAACAGCAGTAGCAGTTATAGTAAGATTCCTATAGCTGTATCATAAAGTGTTAAGTATAATCTTACTATAGCCTGGTCTTATAACAGCATTAGCGGTTACAGTAAAATCTGTATAGCTGTTTATTTGGTGCTCTTAATTAGAAGCAGTATGATGTTACTAGCCTGGTCCTAAAACAGCACTAGCGGTTATAGTAAAACTTTTATATAGCTGTTTATTTAGTGTTCTTTACGAGAAGTATTATAAAGTTACTCGCCTGGTCCTATAGCAGCAGTAGCGGTTATAGTAACTTCCACAGCAGGAGGAGTAGCAGTATTTTCTACCAGACACGTAATAACTATTATAGTAGTTCCTAAAATAACACGTCTCTCCAGCCAGAATATCTAGGAAAAGATTTTGAGAGTCTATTGAATTTATACATGTATTGCTTAAAACAAATATTTCATTGTTAATACAATCTGAACACTTCTCAAAACACATTTATTACTGAATGAAAATGTATAACAAGATGTTATAATCTTTAATTTATCAATTAAATTCTGTCCCATGGTACCACGTCATAATTTTTTGAAAACTTTTTGTAGTAGTTTAGACTATGTGGAACGTGGCGAGCTCAGCAGTTAGACCATTCGACTAGAAATGCAGGGGTCCCAGGTTCGATTCCAGCCATATTTTTTCTCTTTTCCTGATACATTTGGTGCCGTTGATTACTTCTGGACTTGCAGGTGAAAGTCCCACCAAAGGCTAAAAAATCTGGGTCGTGCGTCTTTAAAGGCAAAGATATCGATATTTCAAAGAGAGGGGATGTAGTTGATTTGGCTATGAGGACAGTGGATATCGGCCCCGGTAGCTCACTGGTTAGCACCTAACTAGAAATGCAGTGTTTCGTTCATAGAAATTTTCTTTCAAAATATATAAAAATCTTCAACTTAATTTGATCATTTTTTATGCGCCCATATCGAAGATTCGGGGATATATAGTTTTTGCCCTGTCCGTCCGTCTGTCTGTCTGTTTGTCCGCAAAAACTTTAACATTGCTCATAACTTTTGATTGGTAGGAGATATAGCTTTCATATTTCACATGCGTATTCCTTGTGACAAGACCTTTCTTTGAGTACCATCATATTTGACCTTTTGACCTTGACCTTGGAGTTTGACCCAGTTTTACAAAATTTTACCCAACTTTAACCTTGGCCATAACTTCTGAACGGTTGGTGCTAGGGATTTCATACTTCACATGTGTAATCCTTGTGGCAAGACCTTCCTTAGGGTACAAACAACTTTGACCCTTTGACCTTGGAGTTTGACCTACTTTAAAAAAAACACCTTGGTCATATTTTTTGAACAGTTGGTGGCTTTCATATTTCACAGGTATATTCCTCGGGACAAGACCTTACTTTGGGTACGAACATATTTGATTTGCATCTTAGAAAGTTTAACCTCCGCTGTAAGTTGCCTTATGGAGGCATCAGTGTTTCACTATCACATCTTGTTTTCTCTCAAACTTGCTGCTTTAAAACACCTAGTATATATCATACCGGGGATTGCAAAATGGCCGCCACTACGCAAAATGATCAATCAATTTTCGTTAGTTCCATTGCTTAATTGTCGTCTATAATGTTATAGCGAAGCACACGTTTGGAATAGATTTAGATATTTTATACGTATCCAACAAAATAGTTTCAAAATGATAAAACTTTAATGTTTAATGGTATTTTCATTTAAGGCAATATAAATTATACATCTATTTGTTATCGTTACAAAATGAAGTGGACGCACTCGTGTGGGACTGTGTAAATCTATAGGGTTTAGAACAGACATTTTATTTGAACATTTTAAACATAGACTATATATATTAAAAGTGAACGTATTATTGACAGTAAAATAAAATCAAAGTTTATAAAACTATGATGTACATGTACATTAATGTTATACCAAATACAAGGACTTAAATAAATAACAAAGAGACTTAAATTTTATGAACTATAATTATCTCGATAGAACAAATTGGACTTTGATGTTGGAACAATGAACTATAATTTTTTTTAATTGTTTTGTTATAGAATTAATCAGAAGAGACCAATCCAACCCATCGGTATTAAGTAAACAAGAACGGAAGTGCAACGTTTTCATGAAGATTCTTGACTAAGAGCAATGAAATTGGAAACTGAAGGAAGGAAAAGATCTTAGGGCTCGAGCTCCTGTATGTTGAGATGGCGACTAGGCTCTTAAATAATACAGTCGTTGGTATACTTTGTTTGGAGGGCAGTGCCATATTAAGGGTCACTGGTCAATAAACAGAACTACGGACAAAGCGTATGTGCATGGCAAAGCAAGGGTAAATAGCCAAATAAAGAAAGTTTTATATCCGGGACCATAAATACCCTCTAAGCATAAAATACCCTGTTTGCTGCACTTTTGCCTTTCTACTACCTTTGGGCGTCTTGGTTGCTTCTTTGTAGTTCTAGCTCTCAGCTCTTGATTATTTTGGACATTTGACAATTTCGGATTTTATCAAACTATCGTTTTTACAAATTGCGTTTGTCTATTCTGATGACATTCCTAGAATTACATTAAAAATTCGATACGATCCCGCTGAATTAATAATAAACTTTTGAAAAAGATATACAGTCTTGTTATTGGCTTACAACAGACAATAAACATAGGTTAATACCGTCATAGAATTAGGTCCGTAGTACGCGGAGAAGGGCACTTTTTTTCTTTGTAAAGTACTATGCTAGTAAATTTTCATTTTGATGATCCCCCCCCCCCTTTTTTTTGTTGCTGTAAGTTGGAGCACAGGTAAATTCCAGGATTTGAAAAGAATTAAATGTACCAAAACGTAAGAGAAGAGAAAGACCCCCCCCCCTTCAAAAGTTTTGACAGTTTATTGTTGTTGATGTTTTTCTTTTGTTTGATTTTTCTTGTCACGTTTTTTAGGAGGTGGCCTCTCTTCTAAAACTGTTGGTACGGACCTGAAAAGCTTTTCATTAGCAGTTCTTTTTGTCTTTTTCAATAATACATGTATACATAGAAACAAAAGATTAAGTTATTATCTCTTTCTTCAAATGTGGTCGTATATACGCCATAGTACATGTGCGTTTTAATTACCTCTAGTGGTAGAAGAGAAATCAATACATACATATGAATCAAACATTTATCAGTTATGTGTATGTAGATCACAGAAATAATGAAATTTAACTTATTCTGAAATACGTAAGTATAACTTACATTCAACGAGAGTCAAAACAAAGAGAATAAGAAAATTATCCATTTTTGATCAGTCATAGATTCAACTGAGATACGCTTCATGTATCCACTAATATTGAATATATTCATTGATCTCTGTTGTCATGTGATACTGCGGTTGTGACGTTTACAGGTATCGTATTGATCACCCCTCGGAGCGGATTAAGTATGAAAATCGAACAGGTACGGAATTGTGAGTCTTTGACTTCAACATTCTCTCTCTAAATATTCAATTATGGTTTCATTACAATTTTTTTTAAATTTATATCAATCTACATTAAGGAATATATATATAATTATAATCCAAAGTATGAGAAAGAAATCCTAACAAGAATTAAAAATAATTAAAAATAAATAGATAAATAACAGAACGCCGATATATTAGTATCAATATTATATCATCAGGAGTTTTGACATATTGCTATAGATACAAACATTTCAAAGTATATTGTTACATCACATGTTTGTATCAAAAGCAATATGTCAAAACTCCTGATTATATAATTGAAACCGGTAGAGTTTTAATCGGCGTTCTGTTATTTTTTATTATATACTAGGGGGGATATTCAATGTTTTGTTGTTGGATATGGAATTTATTCTCGCTCCGCACTCGTGAAAATATCAAAAAATACTGTCTCACGAGTGAAATAAATTCCATATCCAACTACAAAACATTAAATTTTCTGTTTATTACATTTTCTTTGATTTTCCCTTGGCCTCTGTCTTTTCTTAACACAGTGTCATCGGGCGTGACGTCATAGTTGAGCAGTTGAGACGTTATAGCTGAGTAAACATTGTAACATGGATTTTAAAGGCAACATATTTGGGAAAAATTGGCAGTTTTAGTCTCTATTAAGATGGTTTAGTTACTTTATCTCTATTAAGATGGTTTAGTTACTTTATCTTATCGGGGTTTGGCGAGATCATGGGACTTTGGCGTGACCATCGGACTTTAGAGTCTTACTCCAAAGTCCGATGGTCACGCCAAAGTCCGATGGTTTGCGCCAAACCCAGATGGTTTTACACGCCAAAGTCCAATGGTGCGGAAAGTGACGTCGTAGTACTACCGCGCCAAACTGCAATGCCGCGCCATGCCAAGGTCTTGAATAAGTATTATAAATAAATATCATTATGCGAAAACTAACCCTAATCTCTCGGATAGGTGCGAAACTAACCCTAATCGCTCGAAAAGTGTGTACAAACAACTATAACCTAGATATCTTGGGTGGGTGCGAGACTAACCCTAATCACTCGACTAGTGTGCGAGGACAAACCCTAAATCTCTCGGGTTGGTGCGAAGCAAGTACTAACCCTAATCAGTCAAGTGGGTGCGAGGACTAATTATCCAAATATCTCTGGTGGATGCAAGCAATAAGCAAAATCAGTAAAATTGTATGCGAGGACGAATACTGAACTGATGGCTTTTGAATGCAGGACAAAGGCGTCAAGGATTGACGTCAGAATATTGTGACGTCATAAACGTTGATTTTTCTCGGCACCATCGGACTTTGGCGTGTCAGACCATCGCACTTTAGCGCAGCGCGTCTCATAGGAAACGAACCATCGGACTTTGGCGTGACCATCGGACCTTGGCGTCCGTACCGACATCAAACCATCGGGGTTTGGCGAGACCATCGGACTTTGGCGTCACCATCGGACTTTGGAGTCGTACATATGTATGTATATATATATATATATATATATATATATATATATATATATATATATATATATATATATATATATATATATATATATATATATATCCTTTGGGGGGAGAAAGGTGGTTAAGATAAAGATAATAAATGGAAAAAATGTCTATGATAAGTAAAAAAAAATCAGTTTATTGATAGTATAACTATACTGTTTTCTTTCTTGAATCATTGGTTATTAGTGGACGCCAAAAACAACTGAACTTTCATTATCACCGGCAAAAACAACATACATATCTCGTAAGTCATTAGAATCGTCATGCGTTTTGATTCCTGCTATTTGTCCAATTCCTGGAAGATCTTTGGCTGTCGGTATTGCCCAACTTAATACGTCTTCTTCCATTTGAATAACGTAATTTTTGTTTTCTGACTTGCTGATTCCTAGCGATTTACATAGATCAGAAAAAGCAACAGACGGCCCATTAACTAGAGTAGCAGTAAAAACTAAATGGTCTGCATCATTCACGTTGGACCTCGTAACCATGATATCAGATGTTACCATCGCTTTTGATTTCAAAACCTGAGAAATGTTAATGCTTTTTATGATACTTCCTGAAAACGGCGAAATTTCGAGTATGATTTCTTTATTGTTGTGAACTGCCCACACTGATGAGGGTTTCTCTCTTTCTCTTTCACTTCTCAGAGTGTTATCCCGCAGTGGACCAAATTTCTCCCATAGTCCGTCTTTTCTCTTGTTTACCGTGTGTTGATTATCGCTACCTTTTTCGTAGGTTGCCATGGATGACAGAGAATATTCTGTCTTAAACAGAATTTCTGGTATATTAGAAGTTTGGTTGTCCCGAATAGCCCAGAATTTGGTACTACCGGTACCGGATGGTGCTGGAAGACTGACATAAACAGTGTCCGTATCCGAGTTCACCATGACACGAGGCGGAACCTTCTCTGTATCACTTAATTTCTCTTCCTCTTCTTGATCGAAGAAAACCACATTTCCTCGTTTCATGGTTTTCTTTGGTATTTCCATTTCAAAGTTGATCACCCAAGATATATGTAGCCTATCTACCATTCTTGGAATCACATCGATCGCATATAGACGACGCATACCTAGATTTCCTGGTTCCTGAAAATATTAAGACCAAATTATAAAACAACTGACATACAAATCGAAAATCATTCTGATAGGGCAGGAAAATATATTTTGTGACCTTGCTTCCTTCTGGAATAAACTGTGTTAGCACATACGCCCGACGACCTGATATCACAGGGGTGGAAATGGGGTGGAATGTTCCATTGACCCGCTCAAGTTCACCCGGAAGTGGTATACTGGCATGGCAAACACCATCTATGTAAATGGTGAATTAATCAATATTTATGTAAAAACAAATTGTTGAATTTCAAAGGGATAATACATATTCAAAATCAGTTTTAAGCATCGATTTTAAATGCATATACATGTATTTTTATATATATTCCTTGAAATGACATACCAGGAAAATAGCTGATGACGTATCCGTTCTTAGAAACAAACATGAAGATATCGTCTTCTGTTATTGATAAACTATATAAAAAGAAATAGCGTTCGACACTCATTCAAGTATTTCATGCATGATCCTTATTTGCTTTTGCTTGTTTATGTAATAGTTCTTATAAGGTATTTTTGTTTTAACACACATTCCTGAGTGAAAATTTTAACAACAAATGTAAAATGAAACCTGAATATAGGATACACCCAGTCACTCATTCGTATAACTGGCTTCAACGTCCCATCATCCATATACAGCACCAGACTATGCCCATCTGATCCAATGACGTCACCATAAACATCCATCACCGGAAGTACCGGGAATCTTAAAATGCCATCTCTCCACATAAGGTTTCCGGTAGCCACGTCAAGACTGAGGTATCCCCTGCACGTATTTCCACAAAGACCCTAATACTAATACATTCTGAAGATCGCACATTATTTATTTATTGCTATAATTAATGATCTAGGTTGGTAGTGGTTAGAGACCTTGCGAGAGAGTTTCAATTTGATAGTTATTACACCAGTTTATTTTTTCAACAAAAATGGGAAGGTTTTGAATATGCAGATAAAACTTACACCTCACGGGGCCCATTTGATTGACAAATAATGTTGTTAGCATTTCCAACACAACCAAGAGCGTTAGGTACTGGACCAATGAAAAACTGAGATGTCCAGGCGACAGAAGCATTGGTAGGCGGACTCAAGCTGAAAGAAAATGTTCCGGATGGACGGCACCCATAACACGGACAGCTGGACACAAAATCCTGATGTGATGCAGGGATGTTTATTAAAACACCCAAAATTGCAAGGCGTGCTATCAATTCAGTGACCATTATAGATTATATCAACATTTAAAGATGGTTGATGTACAATGTATATATGCAGCTGAGCTATCGCGAGATATTGTTATCTTTAATTGTATGTAATAAAGGGCAATCCTGATTTAGCTTCTATATACACAAGTATGTTTGTTTTAATATCACCCGTTTTAAGAAGGAGATTGGTATAGTCTTTCTGTTAATCACTGGATACTACTATTAAATTCAGACAAATTAAAGATGAAATCAAACATTATGCATCATTACAATTTTACATTTATGCACTCTATTATCCCAAATAAAGTGTAAGGTGGTACTGATAGCGCTGTGTTCGTTGATAACCACTTCAGTGAGATGACCGGGATCATAGATGAATATACCCAAAGATCATGGCGGTCATTTTAGTTTCTACTATCGTATTTTTCTCGCTCTTTTGTGGTGTTTATTTACTTCCGGTCGAGAGCTGCCCTATGTATGGTTGTCGTCCGTCGGGAACTTTCTCGTATGTTCTAGATATTACTTCTAATGTATCGTTAGCTTGGCCCAAGAGTTTTGTACAAGGACCGTATTTAAATTCACTCGGTTGTGCAGCAAACGATGTCAATATTGTATGTCAAGCTAATGGATTGCGAGATGAGTATGTCATTTTTTTTTTACATTCATTATTCTGGAAGACTAAAAAAATTAGATTCATGAAAATGTAAGTTTACTGAGCTCTAATTAGCAAAGGTTCACATTTGAACATTTTAGAAAAGTTTTAAATATTCAGATCTCCAATATGATTGTAATCTTTAAATATGTGCATTTAAAAAAACTCAGTATGCAACAAAAAGCAAATAGAAATTCTACAATTTTGACGAAATCTTTCTATCATTGTCTTTGCAGGGGATATGTGACCTTGATTCCAGACAATGGTACAGTAGCCTGGTATGGAGACATTCTGCGGCGGCCAACATTGCCTATCATGGACATTTATGGTGACGTCATTGGAACGGATGGACATAATTTAGTGATGTTCGATTCAGATGGAAAAATAGAGAAACCGCTGATCAATCTTGGAGAGAGTTTGTTTCCTACGTACAGGTAATTAAAGAAAGGAAATCATCAATAATCTTTGTATCTGATACTTTTTCGCATTTAAACCTTCAATAAAATTTACTACTTCTGTTTATAGTTTAACACTTTCCGAAGAAAACGGCATCATAGCTATTGTTTCACGACAGGGGTTGCTGATTACCAAAGAATCAAGTAAGTCACTTTTGTTACCGTAAATATGTCAGTTTAAATTATTCATACATCTTACTTCTCTGCATTTTGAATGTTTACTGTTTTGACTCTCGTCGTATAGTGCTTCTAGAAATTACCAAACATGAATTGAATGTTGAATGTTTTTTTTTTTAACTGAACAGTGGAATCAATGCAGGGAAACGGACATGCTGAATATAATTTGGGGTGTTATCTACATAAGAGTTACTCAAGCCGGCATGTCCCTGAATTGATAGTTGACCTCTCATTAAATATTAAATGTATCCTTCCTCATTACCTTCCTAGGATAGGTAGAAGTTTGATCTCCGAGTTCTTCCTTTCTTTAACAAATTGGTTTGTTTTGTTTGTTTGTTGTTTAACGTCCCTCTCGAGAATTTTTCACTCATATGGAGAGGCCACCACTTGCCAGAGGAGAGCTGCAAATTTTGACCTATGCTCGGCACTTACGGCCATTGAGCAGGGATCTTTTTCATGCCAGCACCTACTACGACACGGGACCTCGGTTTATACGGTCTCATCCGAAGGATCGGCCTCCACGTCCCACAGTGGGATTCGAACCCGCGACGTAAGGATCAACTCCTTACTCCGCGACTCTATAAGAGCAGACGCTCTACCACTGCGCCACGCGGGCGACTTAACAAACTGGTAAGCATCCCTGTTATAGGTCACGAAGTACCTGCAGCTCATTCAGTCATATGCTTATGTACATGTATATGTATTTTCAATGTCTGTTAGAGAAGGTGTAGAGGCCTACAGTAAGTATATAGTAGTCTATGTGTTTGTCTGAGTACTGTTTGAGAAATAATGTTTGGTTGTGCCGCGCTCCCATTCTTCAATTATCTGGCTCTCTTCCTGGTCTACTTTTTAAATGGTACTAGTTGTGCTAGCGCTTTCTGACAGGTTGTTGGGATTTGTGGCACTGAATTGTTTTGCAAATCAAAACTGTACAACTTCTCCTTTTCCTACTCAATCGGAAGATCACTTGGCCATCCGTCTGTCATATGTACATGTAATGAGGGTCTCTCTGGCTTTTCTTGACAAACGTCCGGTACTCTAATACATGTACTTATATTCTCTCCCTGCTTATTCAGTTTCATCTAAGTACATTTCCTTTCTCTAGTCAGGTTTTCATGCCCTTTTGTTGACTTCTTTTATCTACGCCATTTGACATGTCATTCAGCTCTTGTCCAGCTCGAGTTAAGTATCACCCTTTCCTCTCCTTTATCATAATATTTCTCCTTAGATCTATTTCTGTATGGACATCTCACCTTTTGAAAGATCAGAGCATATTTTTTTTTCTCTTCCACCCGAGGTTTATCACATCACATTCTGTTTTCATCCATTAAATATAAATTGAAACTTGTAATCCTATTTTTACAAGAAATTCAGAGACTTTTGAGGTCCCATTGGTTGAGGTGCAATGATCTATGGTATAATGTAACTGTCTTGTCTGTCCGTCATGCTAAAACAGTTTCATTTTCTTTTAAGTAATATAATAGTATTCTTGTGCAAAATTTACGGCCGATATTAAAGTTTTTGAAAATCAAACTTCGATCGAGGTCTGAGGTCAACAATCGCAGTATATTTGGAAAAGATTGTCAAAGCACATGAGAACAAAAAAAACGCTGACTCTTCCGGTGCAAAAGGTACGGCCAAGTTGAAAAAAATGAAAATAGGTCAAAGCCTCAAGGTCATGAAATAAAAAATCATAGTATATTTGGAGTCTTTACACAGGTAATGCATATGTAAAAATTTGAAAGCCCTGTCTCTTCGGGTGCAAAGGCAACATGCAAACGCCAAGGTTAAAATTTTTTTAAAAGTAGGTCAATCTAAAAGGTCAAAAACCATAGTATATTCAGAGAGGGTTGTCACAGGTCAGGCACATGTGAAATATGAAAGCCCTATGTTTTCTCATTCAAAAATTATTACCAAATTTATAATTTTTTGAAAAGTAAAGTCAAACTTTTAGGTCAAAAATCACAGTATATTAGGAAAGTTTTTGTCCCAGGTAAAGCACTTGTGAAACATGAAAGCCCTATCTTCTCTAATTCAAAAGAAACGACTATGGATAGCCAGATAAATGAGAGACGATGTCCCTGAGCTTTCGCGAAGGTGGGGGATAATAATACATGTTTTTGCATATGGTATACTAGTAGTTAGGCGAGATAATTCACTGCAGTGTTGAAGTTCCTGTTGAGAAAATAAATGGTTAAAGGCGATATTTTGTGCATACAGCACATAATACAAGGAAAGTTTTTGGTTTTTTTTTTTATCAAATGTAGACGGCATACCTCATGCCTCCATGGATTTTCGTGCAGAAGAGGAGAGAACCAACGGAACTTTTATACCAGTGGCACCACCTGTTGTTTCAGGGCATCGGATTTACATCCTTACAGAGTTCCGTCCAGATTATAGTATACATCAGGTAATGGTAATATGTATGAATCATCAAATTAAATGTAATTATATGTGGATTGGAATTGTGAAGAAAACAAAGCTTAGAAACACCTGTATCATAAATTAAATTTGAACAGTACAATTTCTTCAGTAGCCTGGACTGTCTGCAGGTCGTGGTGTGCTTGACTTCGCGTCACATTGAACCTATACGAAACAGCATGCTCTCCGTACGAACAGTTTCTAAAACGAGGCAAGCTATTGATAAACAAGTTGATGAAACAAGGATATCAACAGTCTCGTTTGAAGTCAACTTTCTAGTTCTATGGTCGATACAATGACCTTGTCAGCAAATACAATCTATCATTAAGTCGAATGCTGACTGAGTTTTTCATACTGATTGTAAGGCCATTATTTATACACTGAATTTCCTACGAATTTTTCCGTTTGCCCGATAATGACAAGGAGCACACGGCGGATGTGACCGGTCGGCAGGGGATGCTTACTCCTCCATGGCACCTGATCTCACCTCTGATTCTTTTAGAGGTCTGTGTTTTCTCTGCTTCCGATTTTGTATTGTTTGAATGTACTTTTGAGCTTGATTACAGTTCGTTATTTCCATATTTCATTGAGCCGTTAATAGTGATCTATGCTGTATACTCCGATCAGAACAATTGTTATTTTCAATTAGTTTAATCAAAACTTTATCGTCTTTTACTGTCAAAAATGAAACTTGAATCGTTTCTTAGCATTAACTGAAACTTCAAACATTCATTAAGTCGTCACTCTCACTCGTAATGGTGTGATTAATAATCAGTACTTCTGCTACTAGTAAATAAAAATACATGTATAGAATACCGGTATCTTCTTTTGAATTTAATTTTTAGTGACAAACTTTTTATCTTTTACATCAAAATACTTGTACAGGGCAATTCCAGATATTTGCAATTAAAAATGATTCCTCGACTGAGAAACAATGTTTTGCATTTAAGCTTATATGATTTTCTCTCTCTTTTAAGCCCGATATCCTTGGAATGCAGCGTTTGTTTGCAATTGACATGAAAAACGTGATGATGGGTCGGCTAGAAACAGCCTGGGTTTTTAACTTTGAAAGACTTGATAGATTGGGTCCGCTTGTCGGCGAATATCAACAAAACAAGCAGGATGCACGAAATGAAAATCAGGAGGAGGTTGGATTTGGTGTTGCCCCACAAATTTTGAAAAACACAGACACAGATATGATCTACGTAAACTTACCCCCACCAGAGGGCGTGACAAATGCTGTACATCTCCTTTGGGGCTTCAAGGATGTATCAAATGGGACAGATCCTGATCTTATATTTAAAATTCCACAACCATTGTCAAAAATTGCTATGTTCGAATCCAATAGTGGACCAGTTGTTGATAAAAGAAAAAACAAAATTTCCGGGAAAACTTACAAACCTTTAACACAGAGAAGAAAAATAAATAACGCCTCATTATGGGGTGTTTCAGTGAATGGAAAACTAATTCTTCAGCTTAACTCAAATGATGGAACTGTGAAAAATCAAATAAACCTTGATTCTGCGCTAAATATGACGTCATCAGTTGTTACATCTAAGATAATGGTAGCTCGATCCTCAGACAGTTCGGAGGATATTCTCATATTCGGAGTGCAGATAACACCTCCTAAAACTGGCGATGGGTCAAAAGGATTCCGAAAGTTGAAAGGCAAAAATACAGCTAAGGATTCTCCAAAGAATTACGTAGTAAGTTTCAGAGAAAACAAAGTCAACTGGGTCTTTGAAACTCCAAATAACCGAGAAGTAAAGGGGCAAATAGCTGGAGTGCAACGCTCCTCTGTCGACGGATCCGACTTACTGGTCGTGTTTACTAGCGATTCCGAAGAGTCGGAAGTATTTGCTCTGAAGTTTGATAGGGTCTTGGAAACTCCAAATAAGCTAAGAGTGGGGGAATAACGTCCATAGATCCGGAACAGAATCATTATGCGAGGAACTTGAAAGGCTTTGAACTCTGGTGAAATTTTGTTTTAACGATTTAAACGATAGAGTGTGACGCTGAACAGTTTCGTGGTCTAGATTATATACATTTCAATCCAATTTGTATTAAAACGACAATAATGCATTAATACCAATAACATATATTAACAATGAAACCGACAGCATCTTAATAAAAAAAAAAAAAAAAAAGAAGCGTTGAATATTTGAAGAAAATTTATTGCTAATCTACATGTATATACATTTATTTAATATAAAAATAATAGAAAAATTCGTTGTCAATTATTAGAAACCAAGTATATTTGGTAAACTTAATGATACGCATCAGGAATTAAAAAGCAAAATTTACAATGAATTTCTGGCAAGACGCCTTCGTCTGATAAGTATAATTTCATTGCCCTTTCTGCTGCTACTTTCCCTCGTATTCAGGACAAACTGCAAAGAAACACAAAGCAAATATTTAATAATAATAAAAGAAAATCTTAAATGAAAATGAAGGTACATGTTTTAGACCCCTTTACATAAGGTAGCATTGAAGAGTAACAGAGGGAAAGCGGAAAGTTTCACACATACCCTGCTGCTGAAGAACATTAACTTCCGTCACGTCATTTCCTGTCGTCGTGTATGTGAAGGTGTAGAAGCAGTTGTTATTGTTAAATACTTGGCACATTTTGGAGTTTGCAGAACGTTGAGCTTCAGATAAAAATGAAATAAAAATATTATTATAAAATCAATGGGTATTTTCTTACTTTAACTATGTATCTGATATAACATGCAGGATAAAGTATTCTTAAAATTCTCCAAAACTTATCTTTATAAAATAATGTTGAGATTCTTTGTGAATTCATGGTATGTTGATGATAAATCAATTACTCACGAATGAAAGGACTCAAGGCTTGAATATTATATGATGCACAATTGATTCTGCATTCTCTCTCGTCTTTGTAGCCACTGAAGTCACTGAACGATGTACATGCCACACAGGATTTAAGTTCATTACATTTTCCACCACAGTTCTGAAAATTAGTGTTTAACAAAAAACAAATTAACAAAGAGGTCATTTCGACCACAAAGCTCACATGAGTCATATTTCTCTTCTCCTTCACCTTCACCTAGAGCTATCTCCGACAGTCACTAACTTCAGCATCTTGATTCTACTACAACACAGGGTCGATTATATATGTAAGTATGACTAGAAATTGACTTCCTGTTCTGTGGAAGAATTTAAGAATACATCAACTTCTAAATCAAACTTGAAATTTATTGTTTTCCTCCGAAGCTGTGCGAAAATGACTTAACAAACTTTCAAGAATCTACATTATTTGAGGATGATAACATTTACATCTGGCCCTGATGTTTTTAAGATGTTTCAAATCCCACATATATACCTTTGTAAGAGTTTGCCACCTATTATACCTCTCCATTATCTCAGAAGCCAGGAATTGAAAAACTGACCTGAGTCTCTACCTAAGTAAGGTGAGCTACTATAAGGTTATATTAATGTTGCTTTGTTATAGCATGAACAGTGTACCAGTGCAACACAGAAAATAACGATGATCATGATGATGAATTCAACAGAACTTTATTACTGCAGAGGAAAAAAGAATGTTTATACCTGGCACTGTTCACAGGTTTGTCCGTAATACCCAGGGTTGCACTCGCACATTCCGCATTTACACATTCCATTGTTACTGCAGACATTCTACCATGAAAAAGAATTAAAATATTTATCACAATATTAAACTAAAATGCATCAATAACATCCATATTTTTTTTTAAACGTTAACGTTTGATATGAGATTTTTAAAATCACTTGACAATATTTTGTAATTTTATAAGGAAGGTTCGTGTAAGCGATAATAAATGAATTAATTTCAAAAGCGCAGATTTAACGTTATATGTCCTCGAAATCGGATGATCGTTGGGGATACGTCTAGTCCCCGTGACTTTGACCTTCTAGATCTATAAGAATTGAGGGAGGACAAACACTCTGTTCTTTAGCCACCTTCACGGTAAAATGTTCGGGATTGGAACAAATGAAAGCTTGAATTAATTTTAATATGTTGAATATTCATTTTTTCTTGTTTTTTTTCTGCATTTCACAAAATAAAGTGGAATCGTGGGAACTCCTCCAAACAAATAGAAATAACGACATAACTTACACCGCTTGAATCCGATGAACAAGTTGCGTTTTGTGGGCAAAGTTCTGTTGGGCAGTCTACAAAGAGTCATATAAAATCAAAGATGGAAATAAAAATAGTACAGACTTACACAGATATTTATAACATTGGATTTTACACTAACCTTTCTTCATGGAAACTTCAAAGAATCTGTCATGAATAATTTGGAATTTCATTAAACACCCTTGTTCATCTCTGTACGTGCACTTGTTAACATTGTCTGGAGTAAAACAAAGGAAAAAAGTTAAGATTATATTCAAACTTTAAATGGAAGTTAATGAATTTCATGATGATATTGTAGATTATATTATATATACCAGGGAATCCTCGGACTCGTCTGAAAGTTGGTGCAAAACGCCTTCCTCCACAGAACTGGCGACACATTGCATTAGGCATAGGTGAACCAGAGAACACAAAGCAGTCCACACATTTCCCGTAATCAGGACATTGATCCTTACAATTCTAATAAAAATAAAAAAAATGTTTTTAAAAAACATTCATTCGATGAAACACAGGTGTTAACCTAAAGAGGGGGGGGGGGGGAGAGGGGGGGTTACCTCGCATTCAATGTCATCAGCAGGAGATCCAAGCGGAAGTTTATTCAGTGATTCTTCAGGTATGGTGAATCTTGTACCCATTCCGCCACCCGCGGCCCCAATAGGGATTCCGCCTCCCATTGGTCTTATAACTGGCTTTTCTACCACGACAGGTGCCCCGGTGGTAGTGGGTCTATCAGCGTCTGTACAGACACACTTGCTGTTGCCTTTGCTACCTTTGGAATCTTTCCATTTGCAGGTAGGGGCATTTGTTTTCTAGAATTTTCAATAAACAGTATAATTTAAGATCTTTTTTTTTTATTTTCGTTATAACTTTTATTTCTCCAGTGGAGTTGAACCAACATACCTTTGTGCTGCATTTACAAGGTTCAATCCCGGAGGCAAAGATTCGAAGAACTTGTTTTAGTTTGCCGATTTTGACCCTAAGTTTTAACTTCTTTTTCCTGCAACACAAGTGCTCTCAGAGGTCGAGTACATGTATGTGCTAAATATAGATATAATAATACACTATAAATAGAAATTACAGAATCTTCTTATGAAAATCTAGTAGAGATTTTGTACACTTGACAATTTTAAGACATTTAAAATCTAAATACAACTCACTCTTTCGTTGTCATATCCTTCAAAAATTTCACCTTTACTGTTATGTAAAACTGTCAAATAAAACTCAATTAATTAAAAATGAAATTCAGTTTTGATACGTTATACAATAAAAAGAATACACTGAAATTCTAAAAATGATGCAGAAACAAGTTTTTCTGTAAGGAACCGTTTCTTTTTTGTTAAGAATACTTTAAACCTAAAATAGATAATTATATCGATAAAATTAATTGCGTCTTACCTCTTCTCCTCGCTTCAATTTTTTACATTTTACTTTGTATGGATTTTTCTTTGAAACAACTCTAGAAGTGAAAATATCAAACGTAAAAAAATATCTTTCGCATATTAATTATTATGGCTAAGCATTTACAGACCGCGTGTAATAAAGTCTTAATTCCCCGTTACCTCTTACTGCACTCCACGTCTACGGTGACCTGTACTGGGTCGTCATTTCCAGGTTTTGGTAAAATAACAACAGCTGTGACCTGTGAATATCAAATCATCAAATTCAAAGAATTTAGAGGAAATATACGATTTGTGGTCAATAAGCAAATGATTGGGTGTAACAACTAGGAAGATGAGAGATTTTGTAGTGTAAACATGGACAGTGTAGATATACCTTCTTTTTCCTGGACATTGTATCAGGTACCTTCACACCAATTCTGTGATCGGTTACACCACCTGCATAAGGTAAAATATAATAGTTTTGATAGAGACAATAAAGAATTTTCCGTTTTTTTTTTAACATTACCCGACTTTTACTCGAAGTAGTTCGCTGTTTCAGACACCAATATTTAATATCATGGGTGTGTTTGCTGTAATAGTTAGTTTCATCCAATATACCTGTTAATGTGTTCTCTATAATTGATGATATGCATTGTTAATATGGGGCTTACCTTTACGACCTGCATACTTGTTGATATCATTCCCTATAATAACCGAATCGGAAAACCCCCTGCTCTGTTGTAAAAAAAAAAAAAAAAAAAAAAAAAAAAAAAAAAAAAAAAAAAAAAAAAAGATTAAAGGAAAATAAAACATTCTGTTCATAAATCTGACTAATTTTGTGAAAATAAAAAAAAAGATGTACATGTAGTTTGAATATTATTTCAAGTTGACTTACTTTAATGTAGGTTAGCTTTGTAGGCCAGTGGACAAGACTTCCAGGGCACTTCTGTCTCATTTTGAAATTTCTTATGTACATACAGCGAGGACCGGAAGTAAAGTTCTATTAAAAAAATATACATTTTCAGAATATAAATGTTAATAATATTGTGAAAAATCCATGATTTTCATATGATATTTTAAGAGAATTTTAGTGTCTTTCTCGTAAAAGTATTTCATAAGTGGCTGTATAACAATACAAGTGTGTCGTCTTCAACATCTGCAGCACTTCGGAAGTGCTTGAGTGGATCCTACCGAGTATTCGCAGCCGCTATCTACCCTTGACATTGTTAAATACGTGCTGATAAATGTGTACAAATAACCCCAGGCCCGTAGGAAGCAATTTCACTATGAAGGGGCACAACTATACATATAAAAATTTAAAAAAAAAAAAAAAAAAGTTAATCAGACGTTTTTATAGAGGGGCACAAGCATATAGTAGTTATGTTATCTATAGTATTCTATATATCGGCAAAATTATTGGGGTATGGGCACCCCCCACCCCCCCCCCCCCCGGTTCCTACGGCCATGAACCCCTTCTATTAAGTATAAATACCATCTACTATCTCGACTATAATTAATGTTAAAAAAACGTTCTCAACTCTATATGTGTTGGACTCGAACAAGTGCAAAATACAATCTCCATATCGTTACTCAACTCACTGATGAGAAACTTAATATTCGAAAGTCCCAACCCAAAGAATGAAGTGCATTATTGCTGTTTATTACCATAAATGTAGTCTTCAAATGAACAGATTTATTCAATATGATGGAACATGCAAATACTCAAAACATAAAACAGATTTACATGCTTTTTCCTTATGTTTATTTATTTATTATTTATTTATTTATTTCTTGAACCCACGTGAATGCCACTTATTGGAATTCACAAGCTTATGATAAAATGTTTATGATAATATCTGATGATGATTTTTTTGAACTCAGACCCCCCCCCCCCCCCACTAATACAAACACCCTACCTGTATCAAATTTTACGATTAGTTCAGAATTAATTATACAAACAAATATTTATCAAACCAAACTGACCGCGGCTCCACACCAGATACATCTTCCAGACTCGCTGTTTCTCATGCATTCTTCACAGGTGTTCCCAAAACAATTTTCTTCTTCTGAAATGTATTGGGGGAATTGCAAATAAAGTATTGGCTTCGTTATCTCGTAAACTGAAGGCATTATTTTACTACAGTACATCAATGCTTAAACTTACCAGACACCGCCATACTGAACAGCAAGGCCAACGAAAGAAGCCCGAACACTCTCATCTTGAAGAAAGCTAGATGGACAGGAAAAAATACAATGTACATATAGACAGAAAATGGAGAAACTGAAAAGGTTATCTTAAATCTCAAACAAAGGGTCCTGATACCACCCCCTCCCCGATATACCCTGTGTGGCTTTTTGACTTTTTTAAAAAATATTTTCCCGCATTAATTGATAAAAAAAAATTCCATACTATTATAATAACGTTATTATTGTATGGACTTTTTTTTTTATCAATAAAGAGAATTATGTAAAAACGTCAGGTACCTGTACTGTGATCTTATCAATACACTATGAATTCGGAATTTACCTCGACAAAAATCCTGATTCATTTTGTGTACATCACCTTGTTTTATATACATGTTTAGAGTGGGATCGAATTTGAGTGAACACCTTCATTATCATAATTACTCAGTTCAAAACACAATTAATTACATTAGGTACAAATGACACCTGAAAAACTATTCAGATTCCTTTTTAAAATGCCCTGAATTCCGGTCTTGTTTTATAGTGGAATTTTAAATGGAAACCTTATGTTGTACTTCCTTATCTAAACTGTATTCAAGAACGAAGCTTTTTTTAAACATTTACACGCATGTCATGCAAAATACCATTTTCTTATCAAAAACCACTCTTTTATGTTGATTTAGTTACCTGAAATTTAAATTTAAGAGATGACCAATTGTCAATTTGAACTTCATTGAAAATAAGTTTGCTTTTACAATTTGTAATGCTTAAATTATAGTATTTTTGAAAAGATTCGACAAAAAAGAGGAAAAAAGGAACAAGTATCTATACATACCAGTTTGTTCCAGAGACGACTGATTAATGACTTGTATACATACAGTTCCACTAGAGCCACTCAGGGCTCTTTGGCACGTGGGCAGGGATCAAGTTAATCAGGAAATGGCTTTCAGAGATATGTGGTAATCAGCTGGCCAAGCTGTTCGCTTATAGGCCAGGAAAGGGTCGGAGTTAACAAGGGTAAACAAAAACATGTTTACATGATAGAAAATACAAATATTTGTCACAAAATTGACACATTTTGCCGTATTATGAAAGAGTCATGGGTACCGTTAGACAAGGTGTGAATGGGTTAAGGGAGATTGTGAAATATTAATTGTGATAGCAGGTACTGTGATGTTTTCAAAAAATTACGCAATCTTTGGGTTTTGAATGTTTCTGATTACCATCACTGCAGTACTGTAATTTAAGAAGACTTTGTGTTTCCAAGCCGTTTTATCATTTCAGGAGTTTGCCATGCACGCGTTCATATATACTGCAAGAATATATGTATTACATTATATCCTCGGACACTCTTGGATCATACTTATTCGCTTGTCCCTGCCTACGTATGAATTGTAGATATTTGAGTACCATTTAGCGTAATCTCATAATGGCCACTGAAGAGTTGGATAGTCAGCGGAAGATGCTTGTTGAATGAAGAGGTGTAAATAATCTGTGTTCACAATTAAAATATCATTTCAAGCCTGCTTATGCTGCATAGAAAGGTTATAACTTTTGGGGGTTTAGAGAAATAAAAGACAGTAAAAGATATTAAGAACGTTGTAGACGTAATTTTTAACATGAGGTCTGTAGACGCAATACTCATCTGGATCACTTTGACTTAACTGTTCTTCTTCAGATTTCCCCCCTCAATATTTCCATGAAAAAAATTGACCCCATTCCTTAAAAACCCAAAGATTTTCCTTCCTCTTTATCGTATGTAACATATCCACTTTCATCCTAGTGACCTTGACCTATGATATTGACAATTTTTTCCATAAAATCTAACGAATTTTAACTGAAAGCTGTCGCGTAGGCTGACACTTTTATAGGACAGTCACTTTCGTCTTTTTTAGCTCATCTGAACGAAGTTGGACGGGAGCTTATGTAAAACCCTCGGCGTCGGCGTCAGTGTCGGCGTCCCAGGTTAACGTATTTAGAGCAGATTTCTTTTCAAGTACTTCTTATGGAATGAGGATAGTAGTTCACTATCGCACCATCGAGCATCGACTTGAGGGTCGATGGCGCCATGCGATGAAGCGATGGCACGAAGACAAGACGGTGCGATGACGATGATGCGATAGCACGAAAATGCGATGACGATGGTGCGATAGCACGTTAGAGCGATAGTAAACATCGCTTCCTCGCACAATTATGCTATCGCTGAACATCGTGCCATTGCATCATCATTGTCGCGCCATCGCTTCATTGTCATCGCACCATCGCTTCATCGTAATTGCACCATCGACCCAAATCTCGATGGTGCTATGATGCAATAGTGAACTATTATATGGCCCTATCCGGATTCCATACTTCTATGCCCTATATTAATCAGAGATGCATGGACGATGGTTCTAGTGTGTTTCATTGTACCAATCATTATCAAGGTTTTAGATTTCAGCCAAAGAATGGCCAGGTTAATGTTTTTGGAGCAGGTTTAATTTCCAAGTACATGTAACTATAAGCCCTACATTGACTAAATTTGCATGGATGATACATCTAAGGATGCACATTGCCAGGTTCCAACGGATGCTTGATCTGACCTACATTTTCCGGATGAGTGACCAAGATAATGTTTTTTGAACAGGCATGGGAAGAAATTCTGTGGATTTTCTCCGGTGTTGCTTTAGACTGAATTCAATCAAAGCGCAATTAACGCTAATCTTTATATTACCCATGAGAGTGATGCGAGACAAATGATGGCAGCACTGTTGAGGGAAGGATCCAACATTTTTTTCAGATTTAAAATTAAAGCTTTAAAAGAACAATATAATATAAGGCCTTTCGGGGGGGGGGGGGGCGTGATTTCAATTTCCTACGTGCTCAATAATAATAACGAGTTTAAAATGAAACATATAATTATAGAAAATAAACGAGTAAACGATAAACAAATTAAAATAAAAAGGAAATTAAATTCCATGTCTGAGTTTGTAACCCTTATTTTTTTTTTTTTTTTTAGAAAATATAAGCGTATCACAGGTTACTAAAGTAATGCCATATAAAAACACAGGTTTTTTCATAAATATGTCTTCGGATGTATACGGGGTGGAATGGGCTGATTTTAGGGCATAGATGGGAAGGAGAGTGTCTGGGGGATATCATTTAGCAAAGCGATTAAATAGTAAAAATTCTTGTTTAGAAAATAAAGCTAATCTTCAATTAGAAAGCAAAAGCTATAAAAAGATACTGGATTCATGTATAAAAGATTATAGAAAAGGCATGACAAAAAACTTGAAATCACTACGCTCTACAAATACTCGAGATTACTGGAAAATTTTAAATGGTCCAAATATGTCAAATAAATGTGCTGTAGATATTAATGCTATGTATGATTTTCTTAAGGGCATCAATGAAGGTTATGATAATGACGTAGAAGATGGTGATACTTTAAGGTTCTCAACAGACAGCCATGAATGTGATGATTTTTTGAACTTTGAGATTAGTGAGGAAGAAATTTTATTTGCAGTAAAAAAATTGAAAAATAATAAGGCCGCAGGCTACGATCAATTGTTAAACGAACATATTTCATCAACAGTATCTATTTTTTTGCCTGTATACAAAAAAATGTTTAATTTGATTTTTGATAGTGGAGTCATTCCAGACGAATGGCTCACAGGTATTGTCAAACCGATTTTCAAAAATAAAGGCGACCCAACAAATCCAGAAAATTATCGTCCAATAACACTTTTAAGTTGTCTTGGTACGCAGCTAGGTTAAGGACTCCCATATATACGTCAGTCTATGCCGAGGTTCGGGAAAGCTATTATGACGTCACGTTAAAGCAATGCAAATGAATCTCGATAAATAAATACTATATGTTCTTTTTAAAACAAACTAAATACTTTCGTTTCTCACAAATATTATAAAAATAATTGAGTGTGCAACTTATCTTGCCATAATAGCACTTAGCGTTTGTAGAATGAAAGCCAGCTTGATCTCGCTGTACTTACTGAGATGACGTCATTTCTTAGTTTGACACGCAGTTTCTCTGTACTTGAGGCGTGGATCAAGCTTTTATCATAGCTTGTAAAAATAAAATTAATGACGAAACACGCGTAGTCCGACCAAAATAGAGACGTATTCTGAAATATATTAATCTACATTATATTGTCAAACTAAATTGATCATGTGTAGACATAATATATAAGCCGTAGGGAGCACATCTGTACAGTAACGTGCTAGAATGACAGGTCCAGTCCTTCGAAAATGTCAAAAAGTTCAACGATATCCGCTTCACTATAAATTCTGAATTTTTAAACACGTGTAGCTATTATTCCTACTATTCTGAAAAGTGCTGGGAGCTGGTTGTGCATTGTTTATTTATTTCGTAATGTAACATTATTCTAATGTGTATTATATCTATGTCTGGAGTTTACAGAAAGACGGCAAAATTTTACAAATTTCCCGAGCACGAGGAAGTTGCTCCCAGCACTTTTCATGTTAAGGAATTTGTCTCAAAGAAAACAAAATAAATTTTATAGCGGAAAGAGGCCCGTATATCGTTGAACTTTTACGATCTTTGTAGTAGTACATATATGTTCTAATTGTAAACCTGTCACGTGACAAACAGCTGATGTAAGCGAAGTCGCATTGGCCGAACTCAGCAGAGACCCGATATATACAAGTGCACACACCACGATTCACATTCATCAAAACTAATGCTGTTATAAAAAATATTAAAATTGTATTCATTTTCCCTGAATATATTAAGGCGTATATTTCATGGGCGTCCTTAACCTAGCTGCGTAAGCTTTTTACCTCCATTTTATGTAAACGTTTGGAATGCTATGTAGAGAATTTAAACCTTATAAGTGAAAGTCAAACTGGCTTCAGGAAAGGATATTCGACCTTAGATAATATACTGACTTTACATTTTCTTACAAATATGGTTATGTCTTTCAAAAAGAAACTTTTCTGTGCTTTTGTTGACTTTAAACAGGCATTCGACACGGTGTGGAGAAATGGGCTTTGGTACAAATTGTTAAATAATGGCATTAGTGGTAAATGTTTTACATTTATAAAA